TACGCTGATCTAAAAATGTGATTTTAATAAATAACAGTTTACCATTAACCTTAGTATTCTTTAATGTGGATATACATTTAAATATTACAACTAAGATAGTCCTAGACACGTGGTTTTTGTTTTGGTAAAAGGACAGTATCGTAAAAATTAAAGATAAGCAAGAAGGTTTTATTGTTGTGGCCAGGACGTACCACGATGTGGCCGTACGTGTCCGTCCTCATTCTAATTTCCCAATGGAACGGAAAATGATTGGGCTATCTCGATAGAGGTCAGATGAAATCTCAGGGTCCTAATAAGGAAATTGGTGACCGCTATCGGGTGTGCGAAATTCAAACGTACGTTGAAACAATTGTCCGAAATATTTTTTTTTTTTAGTTTTCCTCGCCCGAATAAAAGATTTTAAGTAGATGAGATTAATTCGTAACTTTATTTCCGGTTATATTATTTTTTTAGCATAGTAAACACAAATAAAACCATTATTTATTTACAGTATGATTCAAATTAGCCTTTTTTTTACCAGTCATGGCCATGGACTAAAAAGTCCTAATTTGACCATAACTCATATTGATTTTTTTCGCTTTTTTAATTATATGCACTATTACTCTATTTCATCATTATCACTTTTTACGTTCATTCGTTGGCGTGTTTCGGATCATCCTTAATACAAGTTATACCACTAAGCTAACTGTGAATATCCACTAGTTGTTAACATTTTGTTCTCTTTGTCTTACCCAAGGAAAAGGACAAGGAGGAATGTATTTTTATACAATTGGGTCGACAACTGCTACCCACAGTAACACCTAACACTTATCGGAGCAACAGTAATTAACATTTTAGCGATTAATGAGTTCCAACAACAATGTGACCTGAATAGAAGGTGCGTTGTACGGAATGCACTTTGCCCTCCTGTCTCACATGCCAAACAATTGTCTTCACACAATACCTGATTAGATCTTTGTTTAACAAATGCTTCCTTCTATTTTATTTACACCCAAAAGTGTGTCATTGTACGAAAAATATGTTGTCTTATGACAGTGAAACATGTTTACAAATATTTTTAACTCGGGTGACCATATCCTGTCCCTGTTATATTTTCAAACGAAACTACACAGTTTGCAATCTTAAAAATATTAACCTGTTTTACTAAACACGACTGACAGGTATAATATAAAGTTATATTTGAACTGCAAAATATTAAAATAGAAAATGAACCATACTAATAACGTATGCATTAGGCCTAGGCAAAAAAAAAATTAAGAAAAAAAATCAATGTCTGGCTTATTTCAAATCAGTAAGTCGGCGTTATATGCAATTAATTAATTACTTACAAAGTACCATTATATTATTTAACTTTTTAAAGAAGGAAATAATATTCGTGACGCATTAATGGTAATTTATACGGTTACAGTCCAATACAATTTCAATGGCCGTGTTAGTAAACGCCACGTTACCGTCGACCGAGGGAGACGTTTCCGTCATTTTTTATTTAATTCTAATTTAATTTTTCATCCCGTTTATCGAGTCGCGGGTGTAAGCAATTCATAAATATTTATATCCGTGGAGGTATGACGATGTAAGGAGACCGCTAAGTGTAATTTCCTCGATACATCGGCGAATGATTCTCGACGTCGCTCAGTCAATTGTGTACCTTCGCGACGGACGCGTCCGACTGACAGAGGTATGTGTGTGTAAAATGATTCGCTTTTAATCGTATTTTAATGATAAATGGAAAATTATTATTAATTAAACTATCGTTACATTGCAATGTCGAAATCGATTAGACCTTAATTTTAAGGTCATTTTTTATGATAAGCTCGAATTGTCAGTGATAATGTTTGATTGTTTGTTATAATTTAATAACATTGTGTTATCATTTAAACAGTGTGCTCTTGTTCGATTGACACGTCTTGATACGATAGTTTTAATTTAATTCTCTCGCTAATCTTTTTAACATTCAAGTAATGAAGGTAAATAAACAAATACGAAGAGTAATCTAGCCGGTGTATTAAAATTTCCATTACGTACACTATTAGTGATGTCTTTTAGAAGTAATAAATATTTTAGATCAAAATCTGTATTAGAATATCATGAGACGGAGACTCAAACTGAGTTCTCTTTGACAAATGGCAATGTTTGTAAACAAAAGCATGTGCCTTCTATGCAGGCAGATGTGCTGTGGAATAAGGATAGTGAAGAGGTTATTTTAAACGATAGTGTCATATTAAAAACTAAGCCATTCGAAAGAGATGACAAAGTAGTGAATAAAGTTAGTGATATTGAGGTAAATCCCAAGCTAGTCTCGTCCGTTTCCAATGGCCAAGCACAGTCTAATTTGGATAAAAGACCGTGAGTATTCTGAATCATATTTTACCATATTTGAAACGTAAACAGTATGTATTTCGTTTCGTCATGCTATTTAAACGTTAGCTTTTGCCTGCAATTCGTCCGAATTGTATTAAAAATAAACTTATTAAACGTAGTGCCTTGCCAAACTATGTTCTTATATGGCGAGATTTTGTTATTTAAAACAGACTGTCAAATGTTTTTTGACAAACTACCTTTGAAAATACTTCGACCTAAAATGAAATCATAGTCAATTTGTATTGTTATTTATTGTTTTCTTTACATATATAGTATAAATCTTTGAGTCAATATGTAATAACAACTAAGTTATAAGTAACACTCTCATTCGTAAGTGTGTGTACATATAGCCTTTTGTGAATGTCCGTCATTTAAGTTGATAAGAAAATGTAACTTTAATCTAAAGTTCAGGATTTTTTATTCATGTTATTTTATTTATTTTAATTAATTCCATATATTACTACGTTAATAAAACATACATAGCAAAGAGAGTCATAAAGATTTCGGGCCTGCTATGCTAATAAAATTAATTAAACATACATTTTATAAGTCGTTACTTTACTTTGAACATATGTATATATATATTTCGATTTATTCAGTTCCGGTTGAGATAAACTTAACGTTTGAATATTAATTTAGTATAAATCTTCACTGTGAGGTTGATAAAAAAAAATAATTGTGTAGTACTCGTATAACCAAAAATATTAACATTCTGAATTGTAGGTGATTCAATACGGTGTCATTCGCTTCGTATTTCCCCCAAAATGATACACAATGATTTTTTTGCTTATGCGCCGCGTGAAATTAAAATAGTAAAAATATAGCCTACGTTACTTAGTGATAACATAGCTTTTTAATGGTGCAAGATTTTTTTTAAATTGGTTCAGTTGTTTTTGAAATATTTCAATACATACAAAAATCCAAAAATACAATTCTTTTCTCTTTTGATATTAACATAGACTAGCTTTTGCCATCGGAGAGTATAAAGATAATCATAGTAATAAATGTAGCCAATGTTTTCAATGACAACGTTCTTTTTTTAAAGGCAAAATATTTTTTGTAATCCTACCAGAAAGTTTTGAATTTATTTTTACATACAAAAGTACAAATCTTCCTTCTATGATATTAGAACAGATATCTTCCATTATTATCTCTGTCCAAAATTTTCATAACTTCATATTACTCAAGGCTTGGAACGATAATAGTTTATTTCAAATCAAAATAAACGTGCTTTATCTTTTATTATACCACCTTAGAAAAGATACGCAATTATTGATTTATCTCAGCATAAAAGATCAATTTTAACTATGTAAATGATTCATCATTTGACTAACACATTTTAATTCAAAATTATAAGGAAGCTACACTTACATAGTAGGCTATATTTACTTTTATTTTTAATTCCGCGCCAACGAAGTCGCGAGCAAAATCTAGTCACACATATGTTGCTAAGGTAACGTAACCATCATCAATTAAAACTTTTTTATTATCCTTTAATAACTAAGCATATTAGTAATTAATTTAATAACTTCTATAATAATAGCTCTCCTTTACAGTAAGTTTGTAATAGTAAGCGCGTATTCTTATTGTCATATTAACATATGTAGACTAGAACTACATCAACTTTGGCTAAGGTTCACATTGTATATTTATTTAAGATAATTATTGACTATTCAAAAACTACAGCCACAATTTTTTTTTAATTTTTTATACCGACTTCCAAAAAGAGGAGATTCTCAATTCGTCTGCATGTTTTTTATCCCATTCACGCTGAGCCCAAGTTTTTTTTTATAACATAAGGTGACAAACGAGCAATCGACCACCTGAATCCGCCAAAATGGCGAAGCGACCGCTGCCCATAGACATCCGCAATTGCAGATGCGTTGCCTACCCTTATCCGACGGAGGAGGAGACGTACATAAACAGGATATTTACCCTTCCTATACATCTCCTCCACTGTCAAATCCACTTCCCCTTCCCAACCTCTCCTTATAAGAAAAGGGTGGTAAGGAGTAAGGGACTTAAATTAGGCCTCCGGAACCACACTCATCAGACGAAACACGGAATTGCTTCCATTTCACGCCTGTCTTCTGTGTGGTCGTGGTATTACACCGGGCGTGCCGGCCCTGCAGTGCTAAGATGTTAAAGCGGGCACTCCCACTGTTGAAGTTGTTGGCTAATCTCTAACCTGTGAGGTCTACATACTATGACACGGTAAAACGAATATTAGACGAGATATATCTACTACTAGCTGTTCCCGTTCCCGTGCGGCTTCATCCGCATGAAATTATGAAAATTTTATTTCATTGTTTACATTTGTCAAATTATCAATAGCAAATGTCAAAACTAAGTTTAATGATGTGAAAATAGATAGCCTAAAGAGTTATTAAAAAAAAGTTATTCGAAAATATGCTGTAATTGCTGACATCTTAAGCAACAAAGAAGTGTGTGTTTTACATTTTATTATAATAGTATAGAGTATAGATTATAACATTGCAAAATATTAAACAAACTTCCTGAAAGTTTTTATAAGTTGAATATTCATGAATCATATTTATTTGCGGTTTTAACTCGTTGCATTGTTTTTTCAGAGCCGTGTTTGTAGTTGATACTTTTTGTTGATTAAAGTTATTGTGTTAAAACATGCTATGTGATATTTGAATCAATTGATAACATGCTATTTTATAATTAAGAAAAAAGATAAAAACTGACATTAATCTTAAGGTTACTACAGTACAAAAAGTACTTAATATATCCTTTGAATTTCAGCACTCGAAAGAAGTGTCATTTTGTCCCTTTCTTTCTGTTTTAAATGAAAGAGACAGCAATGTTTTCGTGCTTGTTTTTTGCCGTGGAAATTCACAGTATGTATCTTAACTTATAACTTCCGTGCTCTGATGTTAAAAGTAACGATAAATAACAAGACGTGAACAAAAACATCAACATTACATTGTGCAATATCTAAGGTGCTTTGTATAATTTCGAAGAGTTTTTATAATACTTTTTATATTCAAGTACCATCGTCTTGTTTTTCATAAAGGATTATGAATAAGCCAAGGATTTTCTTGTTTATAAATTATATTTTTTACTACATACTAGAACATACAATGAATCTATGGTTACTTTACATTTAAAGAATGAAAAAACATATTTACTTAAGTAAAAAAATATTACTAAACTAGCTGTTCCCATGCAACTTCATCCGCATAAAATTATAAAATTTTCATTTTATTGTTCACATTTGTCAAATAATCGATTGCAATAATTTTAAATGTCAAAATGACATGACATGACAAACCTTGGCAATCTTACTTTCTTGATGTTGGCAACAACTTATGGTCTCTTTCCCACATTAGGGTTTTTATCCAAAATGTTTACCCCTAAGTTTAACGGCGTGAAAATATATAGCCTAAAGCGCGTTACGTAAGTATAGAACTTTTTATTAAAAAAAGAGTTATTTGAAAATATGCTGTGATTGCTGTTATTTTAGGCTACAAAGAAGTGTGTGTTTACGCTTTATTATATGAGTAGAGAGTATAGATTGGTTTGTTAACGTTTTTCATAGAAATATAAAATCAAGAGTACATTTTCGAATACTGGAAACTCTAATTCAATTGTCGATATGAAGCAAAGCTAATGCAATAATCTGCCGATCTTATAATGAATACTATAAATAAATTAATTTCTGGTAAATTAATCAAATTAAGTAAATAAAGTTTTGAAAAAAGTTAACAAATACTAGTGATTATGACATCACAAATTCGCACGCTTGCTAAACAATGAAATAAGACTAAAAAGCAACTAAGAAAATGTTATCAATGAAATATATTGTTTGTTATTAATAAACGTTAAGTAATTGAACTAAATAAAGAAAAATATTAGCAACGCAGATTTGTTCATATACACGTATTTATGAATAAGAAAATGTTTTGTTGTTTAGTTATGGCTGGTAATGTTGAGAGTTACCACAGTTAAAGATTTGATGGCAACATTATTTTTAAATACTATTTATATGTTCAGAACGTAAAGTTACATGTTCCACATTTGTTAAGCTTTTAACTAACAAACGTCGAACAATATATTTTCTACAAAAAAGGCAATATTTTACAAAATATGCGCAAATAAGTTTCTTGCGCAAATAATATCCGTGTTCATATTTGAACAACATGGTATATTTTAAAATGAAATCACAATTTTATTTTTAATACAAGATACGTCACAAGTTTCTCACTTCAGTCTTTTTATTTCAACGTTCACTTAGTATCGTACAAAGAATACATTTTATTGATTACTTGCCCTCTATTTTCTACATTTTCAAAGTTATTTTAAAGTATATTTGAAAGTTGTGAAAAATCTGAACATTTAGGAAATGAAAAACTTCGCCAAACGTGATAAGTTGAGAAAATAGAGTTCTATGCTGCGTTTACTAGTTTCTAAGTAGACTTTTGTCGTGGCATTACATACTCGTAGTGAAGGATTCAACGGTAATATTAATCAAACTCATTCAAGATGTGTGTTAATAAGCTCTGAGTGATTCACAGCTTGAAAAGCAAAACTCTGCAGGTACAAACTGAGCTGTGAGCAAGTTCACTGATCTGCTTCTGACGTGCGAATGAGCTGATCTGCAGATTATTAATTTTAATTGATTTATCAATAACGATAGTCATTCGTTCTGCGGGTAGTTGTGAATATGAGACGAATTATTTTGTAATTACAAGATACAGTTGTAGTTAATGAATAATCTCGAATATTCTAAGTTTATTTTCTTAGTATGTAAATTATTCGAAGGAAACAAGAACGTACGGTACCGAAAATGTTATAGGTTGTATGAACAATGAGCAATTAGCATTGAAGGCAAAAAGCATTGTTTAAGAAAAGGTTTTTGTAAATAGAAATTGTTATTGAATATCTTTTAAAGTTTTGAGAGATTTAAATAAACTGAAAATATTTAAATTCTCTCCACTGACATGAAAAATAGAGAGATGGTACTTTTTAATAAAAACAATTGCTTCTTCTCTTAATTAAATTTAAAACAAATAATTATTAAAACTGATTTAGGTTATTACTCTTAGTAAGACGGTTATAAGGAACGGCATTATCTAAATAATAATTTTCTTCTCTTATGTGCTCTTACTTAAAAAGATAACGCTGAGTCACTTCATTTTTAATGTTATAAAAGTTCAATGACCTGGATGTCAGCAGGTTTAGTGCTTGTTGACGTAACAGTTTTTCATTTTAAGCAATATAGTCATGGCCAAGGCTAACATCGTATAATTTGCACTTGATAAATATATTTTAATTTGAAATACAATATAAAAGTATGGTACACCGCAGTTAAAACTTTTGCACGAAAGATTAAATTAATTTGTTTTTTTATTTCATGCATGTCCATATAACACTTTTGTAATTAAGAAAAATTCAAGACCTTTAAGTAATTAAAATAAATACCATATTGGTTGTTTCTGAATAGGTCTCAACTTTTGAAAGTCAACAAATACTAAAACATGTTTATAAGAATATAACTAGTACATAATTCTGTGTAACTGCAGTTAAACAAATAAATGTAATTGCGCATTTTTTAATCTTTTTTTTTTAACGAATAGGAAGTTTTACCCGATACGCATAAGCCTACGTTTTAAATGTCATGGCTGTTTAAAACATTTCCTTACTAATGAACATTTTATTTTATTAAATTTAAAATTAATTATGGAATATTTCATTGGTCAGGTAATTAAGATTTTTTTAATCTTGAATTTCTTATATAAAAACAACATTCAAGTTAAAGGATCCCTGTAATATATCGCTTTATTGTTAGTACTCAAACGGCCTTATGTTATAGAGAAAAATCTTAATCTTTTAACGGTTAAAATAATAAAAATGATTTAAATTTTTGTTAAAATAATATATCTTCCTACCAACATGCTATAAATAAATAAATGTTACTATGTAAGAGTTACAATTGATAAATAATTAGGAACTATTATATCGCACGTAATATTTTACACGTGTTAGAAACAAGAATACTTATTTACTTGCTTTCGACCGCGACTCCGTCCGCGCGAAATGTAAAGAAACAAAAGCAAGTAGCCAATGTGTTCTTCCAGACTATCCTCTACATCCATGCCAAATTTCATCGAGATCCCTTCAGCCGTTTAGGGTACAAACTCTACAAACGTAAATCCATCCATGTAAACTTTCGAATTTATAATACGAGTATTGGTAAGATTGAATCAATTCTTATTTACACCCATTCAGGGTGTAAAGCAAGGTAAGTTTTGATACAGAATCCTGTCTTTTATTTTAAAAAATGTTTACAAATGCATTCACATAGCGAAGTGTAACTGATTTTTTCCAGTTATAAAAAACAGCATAAGAAAAAAAAACTTAATTACTTTTAAGTTAATGTTATTATTCTGGTACAACAGAATACATGATGTCATACTTATTTTCTATCAAAATAACCGATTCCTCTGTTTAAACAAAGTTATGTAGATGTAGTTATTGAACGTATTTAGAACAAGAAAAAATACCGAAGATCTGAGCAAATAATACAAGCATAAGTACCTACTTTTATTTAATTTGCAAATCATTATGATCTGAAGTATATTCTACAATGGAGCAAAAAGTTATATCAAAGTCCGTGTTGACAAGTTAATAGTAATTTAAGTTATAATTTTTTTACTGTTATAAATTATGAAAAAAATATGATTCTCCCTTTATTGATCAAAAACCAACAACTCTGTGTACTCTTACAAGAAAACTTGAATCATAACACGTTCAGGTTTTCTTTTAATATGCCAATACCATCGGGGTAGTTTATTAACAGGCAGGTCTAAACGTATTGTGCCAGTAACTAGCACATAACAGTAACTGGCATGCCGGTAACTTGCAGTTTGTACTGGCATGTGCACTTCCGCCTTTGGTCTACCATCATTATCATCCTCCTTATCCTATTCCCGTGGGGTCGGTGCAACAGGTTTTTGTACTGCAATAACTCCATCATACGTCATTTCAGTCATCACTCTCTTTATTGATCATGTCACCTTTCACGCAATCCATCCATCCCTTTCTAGATTTAAATCTCTCCCATGAAGTGTTATATCGATTTGATTGTTTAATGTATCTCTTATATTTGATGTTTTATTTGCCACAGGTCAATTCCAATTCCGGACAGTTTGGCGATGGACCCGCTGGCGCCCACCGCGCTCGCGGTCTCCTCCGACTTCATGGACCGAATCGGTAGTGGACTGACACTCTTGAGAGACCACGGAAAAAAAGTTCAAAAGGTATTAATTTTTTTATAATTTGTCGGATTTTATTTTATTTCATAAGGTAGCAAACGAGCAAGCGGCCATCGGAATTCGTTAAAATGGCAAAGCGACTGCTGCCCAAAGACGTTTGAAATAGCAGATGAGTATACTCTGTACTCTTAGTCAACGGAGAAGGAAACGAAAAAAAATTAGGATATTTACACTTACTATGCCCGTCCTCCATCGTCAAATTCACGTTCCCTTCCCATCCTTCTCTTATAAGAAAAAGGGTGGAAAGGGAAATTGACTAAAGTTGGGCCTCTGGCACCACACTCATCAGACGAAACACGGAATTGCTCCCACTTCACGCCTGTCTGTGTGGTCGTGGTATTACAACGGGCGAGTCGAACCATTCGTGCGTAAATGTTAAAGCGGGATCTACCACTGTTTTGTAAAAGCTTAAATATTTTACATTAAATTAGGGCGTAATATCCACACATTAATAGTTAGTATGAAATTAGTCATAAACATTTATAGTTAATATATACAATAAAAGCCTACGTCTATATTATTTCCTGCTTATCTTATAAATGCCAACGAAACAACGCACAAAATAAAAATCCTAATAAATTTTATACAAGGAAATTACGTCTTATGCTAACACATATATTTTTACTTGAACTGGTTATTTCGGTATGTGGTTTATTATTTTGTTTGCTGAGACTTTAGAGGCAAGTTAGCCTTGTGATTATTTTATTCGATAAGTGTTAAGTAGATAGATGTTCTGACCGATTATGAACTAAGCGAAAATAGAACATACTAAAAAGGTGTTTATCAAAGAAATCAACATAGTGGTTTTGTATAAAATGTTAAAAATAAAATCTGGTAAACAAATTAGGAAACATAAATTTTACTTAACAGAGGGATACTTTAACCATTGTGTCGTACATAAAATTAGGACTTATTTTAAAACAATGGTTTACACTTTAGGATTTGAAATGTTGCAAATTTATCGTAGTCCACAATTTGCTGACGGTTCTTAAAATAAGACTAGTACATTTATAAATTGTCGAGATTCAAAATCTGTAAGTGACATAGACATTATCATTAGTTTATGTTTCCTTTACACATTTTAATGTTAATGAATTGTTTTATACAGTATTTATGGAAGAGCAAAAAACTTGATGTTACCAAGAAATCGTTGAAATCTCAAGTGAATATTGTTCTCGTGGATGCCAAAGACTTGCCAGATGAAATTACATCTAATACAAATGGCCTTTACTGCAAATTTAGGTGAGTGATACCTTTTTTATTACTTCATACTGTTAAAAAGAAAATCGAACAATACAAGGACATCGGCATAGACGTCCTGTCCCTATCTGACAGCTGACAATGTCATTAGACGTATTGGTATAGGGCGCCATTCTGGCGGGTGTAAGTACTCTTGTTGTTGAAGTTAATTACTTTGATACAATTAAAATCATTTATAATAATACATAATACCTACGTTATAACTGCCTATAGTCTAACACTGCCTACTGCAAAGTATCCAACATTCAACGACTTTGATAATATCTAATAACAAAAATCTACGTTGTCCTATTATCATACTATCCTTTCTCAATATTTCATAAATTTATACTATTATAATAAAGCGTAAACACACACTTCTTTGTTGCCTAAGATGTCAGCAATTACAGCATATTTTTGAATAATCCTTTTTTTAATAAAAAGCCCTACACTTACGTGGCGCTTTAGGCTATATATTTTCACGCCATTAAACTTAAGGGGTAAATATTATGGATACAAACCGTAATGTGAGAATGAGACCATAAGTTGTTGCCAACATCAAGGAAGCAAGATTGCCAAGTTTTGTCATGTCATGTCATTTTGACATTTGCAATTGACAATTTGACATATGTAAACAATAAAATAATTTTATGCTGGAAGAGCTAGTATATTATAAAACTTAAGTTATGCACATATCTTGTTAATGTTTCCGTAGGAACAAAAAAGAAAGTAACATATTGTAAGGTGTAACGATATAAACAAAGACAATACAAAATTTTCCTATTACATGTATAATGTTTATTAAATTAAAAGTGTTTTCTTAATTTACTTGAACTTGACTGATCTTGACGCAAAATGCAAATGATCATGTTATTCGTGTCACTACCGTATTATTTACTCTGTTGGTAGTTTTATTACATACATTAAGTTATGTTTTTCATGTTTCACTTGATTACATGTCTCATTAAATATGATTAAGTATCTATTCTTCATAAAACTTTGCGTGAATTTCCATTGTATTAAAATATACATATTTTTTTCAAGCGTGTGAGAGGAAAGACGATAGGTTTTTGTCACAAATTCAAAAGCATAATTGTGGAAACCTACTGTGGCTCATAGATTTTATAAAATTAAAAACTTTGACTGTTTGTTTTAGAATTATCGTTTATAGACCGACTTTTTAATTTTTTCTTAGGTTAGGTAATGAATCCCACAAGTCAAAACAAGCCGCGAAATCAAAAGCAGAATGGCGGGAAAGATTCAATCTCTACATGTATGAGGACAGTAATTTGGAAGTCAAAGTGTGGCACAAGGGAAAACAAAAGACATTTGTAGGCAGGTAAGTTATTGAGATTTTATTTAAATTACCTTTTGAAAAGGAAAATATTTTTTTTATTTTCTGACTTTTGTGGAAACTTACAGTTAGAGAGCAAAGTTTTAATAATAATTCCTAATAATAAAAATTCCAATCATGACACAATTATCTTTGTCCTTAAAATGTTATCAAATTGGGTTACAATGATAGTTTAATTAATAAAATTATTAGTTTAACTCAACACTAATTACTTACCTAATTACTGTGCATTTAATTAATCGTATTTAAATAACGATACTATTATACAGACATGAAAACAATTTTGAAAATTTGCAATAATAATGCACTCGTTTAATCCATTTTTAAGATATGATAGGATATTCTGAAGATTGCAAAGCGATTTTGTCGATTTTTGATAAGACGCACGATAGAATCACAATTCCCGTGATTCCGTGTTGGTATTCTAGACATCTGTAGGTATTAAAAATGTAACTTGGCATTTTAACGAAGCCTTTTAGTTTAAGATGTTTAAAAAAGTTTAGTGTATTCTAAATTGTAACTAACTTTAATACGTAGGGTAGTACACATTAGGTGTATATTGCTATGTGTCTATGTTATCGCAATTGCTATCAAAGATTAATGAATCAATGACAAAAACAGATGCGTCATCGATCTATCGCAGCTGGAAAGAGAGCGGACACACGAGCTGTGGCAAGATCTGGAGTATGGCTACGGGAGTCTGCACATGCTCGTCACGCTGGGCGGCTCAGAGCGATGCGCCTCGACTGAAAACCTGACTGTAGCCAACGGAATTACACATCAGCCGACAATAATAGAGGAGAAATACGTGAGTGGTCCATATACTTTTTAGCTTGTAACTGTCAGACATTTGTGGAAACAAAGTTTTTTTTTTAGTTGCCTGAAGAAGGAATGAAGAAATATAAAAACTTTTTTAACAATCTTAACAAATGGAACGATATGTTGTTAAAAATGTTTTCTGTGAATAGTTGTACTGTTTGCCATGCAGTATGTAGCTTGTTTTTTTTTATTTAACTGTACCTTTGGTGAAATTGCACCTTCTTAATGATTTAAGTTTTTTTTCTTTTTATCTGATGGCAAAAGACGTTAAAACATTGAGTAAACAACAAATAACTTAGGTTGGTTTTACAAAGTCAGTGTGTTTTTATATTTATTCAGAGCGTATGTTGTGGTGCATGATTTATTTGAAAATGAAACCTGTTAATCGCATTTATTCTTATTAGATATTATAAGACGAAATCGTGAATACGAAATACGCAAGCCTCCTACATCTCTGACGTAGTTTGAGGTCGCCATGTTTGCCCGCGTTTCTTGTTTCTAATGACGTCAATACTGTCAATATGTATTAACCTTTTTGCAAAAACTATTGATACCCATTTTTTGTTTAAGACATTAGTATGAATACGTAATTAATACGAGAGATATATAAGACACGTACCTACTTAAAATGAATCAACCAATTAATTATCGTACTAGTTTAACTAGTACTCACTATTGTATGTTTTTGTATTCACATTCTCGATGTTATTCTATATATACGTTATATACGTATGCTAGATATATCGTATGGAGGAAATCCTTCCTTAACAACTATTCTATTTTAAGCAGAGGTTCCTCTTTCTTTTCTTATAGAATCTTACCAAATTATACTGGTTTTGATGAACCTCCTGCATTTCTTCTTCATTTTAACTTTATTTTCAACGTACACCTCCCGCCGGGTCTCCCGTGACCTACAGGGGTCTACTTAATCCAATCTTGGAATCTTTGACGTTGATCGGTCTTGTGCCATCCATATCATGGAACAATTAATCATTATATTGGAATACAAATATTTTAACAGTTGGCTCCCACCAATTTAATTCTTTTCACAAAAGTGGATGGAATTATATAAAAATATAAACTGAAATCCTACTTTTTTGTACAGACATGGTACCGTTTAGAAAACAATTGGAACGAGGTAGGCCAGCTGTCGGTGACTATCCACGGCGCGAGGGGCCTAAGCTCGCTCGGTCTTAACGGCAACATCGACGCATACTGCGTCCTTGAGGTGGACAACGCGAGAGTACAAACGCACGCCGTTCGCAACTCCAGCGACCCTACCTGGAACAAGAATTTCATATTGTAAGCATTATACTCCGTGTTTAGTTTTCTAGTAGTATATAACTTGAAAAAAAAAAAATATTTTTTACTTTTTTTTTAGCAATATTAATGACGTGACGTCGACGCTGGATATAACAATTTATGACGAATCAATAATACAGTCAATGAAAGGGGAAACCCTCGGGAAAATATCGATACCTCTACTGAGGATAAATAACAACGAAAAGAAATGGTACGCATTGAAGGATCGATCGAAAAAGCACAGTGCAAAAGGAAATTGTCCAAGAATCTTATTAGAAATGTCCTTGGAGTGGAATCCGGTAATTTTTTTTTTATTGGGCAAAAGTTGTCATGGAAAAACAACAACGCATTAGTTAAGTTCACGGACAAAACCTGCTTAAATAGAGGAACGAATTTTTTAACTACCTTGGTATTGGTTTTGCACGACTGACGTAGGAAATGTTTTTCCTTGTTCGGTTTATTCTAACCTCCCGTAGCTTTAACCATTAATAATGCCTGGTTTACATTTTGCCAGTATAGTAAAACAGATGCAATGGCCTGGCATGGATTGTTGTGGGTCACTAATGCAATGTTAACTGTAACATTTCCATCCATTTGTTCAACTGCAATTGTATATTATGAACCAATCATAAGCCTTAACAATGTTAAGTGGTCCGGGGGTCTATTCGTATTTCTTTTTGTGGTGTCTTACAATTAAGATTATCCCTATGGCGTCGCCAGCCGATACTCTATCTAGTACTAGGGTTGGCGGCTACAATTAATATGGTCTTATTCAATATAGTCTTTGTATCTATTTTAGATTTTTCGATTTTTCAATTTTTATACAGGCTTATACAGACACCCATGGCTTGGTCTTTTTTTAATTAACGAGATTTCCTTTTTGTTTATCTTTCAGATAAAGGCATCGTTCAGAGTTTTAAGTCCGAAGCCAACTAAATATGTCGAGAAACCGCCGAAATTCAGCATCCCTCTGATTTATAATAACTTAAAATTCATCAAAGTTGTATTCGACTACATTTACCTTGGAAATGTCTATTTCAAGTGAGTATTTGAATGTACATTGTAACAATATATATTAACAAAGTTTTACGCAAATGAATTGAATAAGGACTTACTTTTTCATTTATATACAGGAAAATAACTTAATCTGTAAAAGTTGACATCATCCACAATTGCATAGAAATTTCATCTTATTATTAGACAAAAAAATTATCTTCAGGTGGCATCGTGGTCAAGCGCTAGCTTCACAAATATAAAAAAATACACTATGATAAAATAATGTTTGAGTCGGTAATGCTATCACGAATTTTATAAATATTGTATAACTTAAAATAAATAGCTTTTGCATTACAATATCCATTTGTATGTACATATTCGTGAATGTCATAAAAATCTGTTTGCCCACACGTTTCCTGACAAACATTTTTATCTTTTCTCACAACGCCAGGTTATTGACACTGTGTAAATATTATTGCACTGAAATGGTACAAAATGTACCACCAATTAAGATACAAATCTCTGCAAGAAAGATCTTATAGAACAAAAAACTGACTTAAGAAACTTATCTATAAAAAATCGGCCGTGAAATTAAGAGTCAAGCTATATGAAAACTGTAATACAAAATAGTTTGCTTGTAACAATCTTATTTTAAATATTAAGATGATGACTGTGTTTACAGGCGTATTCATTTTTTGCCATTTTCGAATGATTAGCCTTGTTTGGTTACCAACGAATTTAACGCGGCTTGAACATCAATGAGCTTTTTTCTAGAACTTGGTTATTATTAGTGCTATATTATCTATAATTATGTATTTATTATACGCAGGTATTCTTGGAAATATTTCTAATCCCATGACGTTACTGCATGATAGATGACAGTTAATAATGTCTTTAAAACTAATTCATTTTATAACACTCGTTAACTCAAGATATTAACGATGTTTTGAAGGTGTTTATGGTCTAAGGTTATTCATTATATATTATTAATCGACAAAATAATGAAAGATCATCTCCTACTCTACTTTTCGTGTATTTGACAGTTATTTTTTATCTTTCGTTTTTTAAAGCTTTCGCTGCGACTCTGTCCTCGTAGAATTAAACAAAAACTGAGTAGCTTGCGATGCGATCTTCCAGACTGTCTTCTACGTCAATGTCTTCTATGTCAATCCGTTCAGTAGTTTAGGCTACAACTCTAACAAACATCCATCCTTCCATCTAAACTTTCACATTTATAATATTAGTATGATATTAAGTTTTTTGTCTTTAGTTTCTAAACATTTAGATCAAACTTCCGTTACAACTATCTCGATTTTCGTCAGTAACTAGGGTAGAGTTCGCAGTAGCGTCTATGGCCAGCATTCACTCTATTATTATAACGGTATAATTTTGCTACTTACTATAACAATTTACAATATACCATCCCGACCTTCTGCGAAATTATAATTCTTTGGTACTCAACATTAATCACCGAAATGTGTGTGTAATTTGTACGATTTGATGGATAGATGTCGTCTTCGTCTAACTTGTTAATGATATAAAAAACTAGTCGACTGATTACCATCGCAATTAGGAGCCATCCAATAGAACGGTGGAAATAAGGTTTTTTTACTCAAACAATTCCATTGTTATGTACAATACGGTTCTTTGAAACTCCAACAAAACAGTAACTATACAGCTTATAAAACATATCATTATTTTTTTCTGTTCTGTAAAGTGAGCTTTAAAAGCAATGTATGATTTTTTTGCAGAAATACATTTGAATGGGACAATAGAGAAAAATCGGCATTGGCTTTAGGGGCATGGCTTTTATTCTGGTATTTCTTTAGGATGTGGATGATGCCATTGCTTTTAATTTTACCATTTGTTCCATACTGGGCGATGTATCGAGGTAATTTTTTTGACTCTCTTCACTGATACTTTTTTTTTTATATAAGACTGGCTGTTGCTCGCGACTTCACCAGCATGAAATTAATATATAGCCTATATTACTCACAGATAGATTACCTTTCTATTGGTGAAAGAATTTTTGAAATAGGCAGATCCGCAACACCAGCAGAACTGCATGCGTTACCGGCCCTTACTTGTGTTTTTTAAAATTTTTTAATCTTTATGCAGCAGGAACCAATTGCAGCCAACTACTTCCGATACTAATAGATGAAGATATTACAGAAGAGGACAGTGAAATACAAAAGGTAATTGATCATTTAAAATATTTTGCAGTTATGATTAAAATTGTAAGGAAATATGTTAATCCAGTTCTTTCTTTTGCGCTTGCTCATTATCCTCAATCATATATTGTTTTATATCTCTTGGGGTTTTTCATTTTGGTTTTTTTCCGGATATTGCTTCTATGTAACGAGGCAATAAGTAAACAGCATTATGATTAAATAGCATTACAATTCTTTGAAATACCAGACCATATAAAGAGGTGGTAGTTTTATTTAAGTTGACTATTTTTCTCAGTTTATTTGTGTTTTTTTTTGTGCAGGATGACAAAACAATATCAACGCGCTTGTACGAGCTACAGGATCTAACTTTTACTATTAAAAATGGTATCGACTATATTGTATCGATAATTGAAAGGTTAAAAAAGTAAGTCATTCATGTTTTGTTTGAATTGTTCTAATGATTATAATTAAGTTTTTTCTATACTAAAGTATTAGTTACATTTACTAATGTTTCGGGTAAATAGTATTTCATTGACACAATCTCGCTGTTACTTTAAAAAAAATACCTATAATCAAAATAAGTTTATTTTTAAATAGCATAAATGCGAAAATTTAGATGGATGGATGTTTGTTAGAGTTTGTAGCCTTAACGGCTGATAGGATCTCTGCGGCATAAATGTAGAGGATAATCTTGAAAGAACACATAGGCTACTCACTTTTGATTTTTTCCATGCGGACGGAGTCGCGGACGCAAGCTAATAGTATATAGACTTACTATTGTTATTCACAGGAATCCTCTTTTCCATCCTTTAAGGATGCGAGGTCAGCTAATGTTAATAAATACTGCATTCAATATGCTTACCATTTTCCCTTTGTTTCAGTTTAATAAACTTCAGCGTGCCGTATCTAAGCTATTTAGCTATTATAGGGTTAGCAGCTGCGTCTGTTGCGTTTTACGTCATACCTGTTAACTATTTATTCATGGCATTAGGTAAGTCATTTTTCTTATTTTTTTTTCTTAAGTCTTGACCCTCTTGTATTAATTTATTATATTATATATATTGTATTAATAAATAATGTAATGTAAATATTTTAAAATTGATGATTATTTATCTGACAGTTTTTCATACAAAATAAACAAAAACATTAATACCTTCCTTATCTGTAAATGCTAATTTCGAACTTCGTACCTATAATGCAACTTGTTTGTTGACTTTAAGTTACAAGTTTATATTACACGTACAGAAATATGCTGTCTCAATTCCTTCAAGGTGAATGAAAGAGAGGTCTATACATTTTTTTTCTATTGTGTCGCCAGTGGAACCCACGTCTGTGAATCGTTCCGACATATTACTTCCTAAAAATCATTGCACAAGGTTATTTAAAGTCATGCATAATTATAAATAACTAATTTAGTCTCTTAACAATATTATAATTTGTACGTTTTCACAATATATTTTGACCTGTGTGATCTTTGAATTCTTGATAATTGTGTTCCGGTTATCAATTTCAAAACAGCTACGATTGTGTAATTTAGAGGTTAGATAAGAAATTACATTATTGTGAAAATGTTATATTTCAGGTATATACAAGTTCACAAGGAAGGCTATGAATCCTAACAGGGTTCCTAACAATGACATACTAGACTTCATATCGCGTGTTCCAGATAATGAGATTTTGGTAAGCAATTTGTCTCGTAGTTTAAAGTTCGGTATTTAGAATGAAAACAACGAAACTTTTCAGAAACGACAAAAGGCAAAAATAACTATTGAATCTAAAGCATTTTCATATCCAAATAAAAAAATATTAGACCACTCAAGGGTCGCCTACAAAGGGAGGAGCGTTACCCTTTGTATCATTTTGACATAGTTTCGACTTTTTTTAAGTCTCTTAATCAGTTTTTTTTTAACTTACTAATTATTCTATATTTCTTGACCTATTGCAACTATGCTTGAAACTTGTTTGGACTTGGTTTACGACAATTCGTATGGCAGGATTCAAACCCTCGACCACGTGTTTGTCATTTAATTTATTTATTGCTTTTAAAACTAATGATATTCGTATTTAATTTCCAGAAACAGTGGCGGGAGCTGAAAGTGATAGAATCTGGTGTCAGCAGGTCTGATTCAATGAAGAGACGGTGATGAGTGTCCTGGGATATGTAGACTAGTGCCATAATTGTAATAGAATTTCTTACTACCCTACGTATTCCGCGTAGGGTAAATGAAGATTGTGATTTAGTGCATAATAATTTATTTATGTTCCATGTACAGTAAATATAAGAATAATGTTATTATAATCAGTCAATCGAAATCAAGTTCTTTGTGCTGGGTTCAATTCCTAATGGCAAATTGTTTTGCAATTTATAAATAATAGTATAGTTAAGTAAATCTGATACATTTGTACAATAGCACTCACAATGCATTTTTAGGTTTATAATAGAATATTTTATAAATACGTAGTGTAAAATACAGAAAGACAATTTAACGATGAATTCTATTACGTCATTGTTTTAAATTCATAGACATTTCAAATACTGCCATAAAGTTTAAAGTAACGAATACAAGAACATAAGAGAAGGGATGAGAATAATTAAAAAATAATTTACTATAAATAATTTGTCTATGGCCCCAAACTTTATCAAAAAGAAACAAATTAGAAAACATTGTCAGTATCGCCAAATCTTGCCGTTCCCTCTCAAACCACGGGTTCAGGGACGTTTAACTCCTTCCAGTCTTTCTGTTGAACAAAATTATTTTTTAAGATTGGTTCTATGGTTAATTAGTAAGTTAAGTGCTCAACTGGCAGCTTTGTACCAAGAAACTAAATAGTTGCTATTGTCCATGGGTTTCGAACATTAGCAGTAACTAGAAATCTAGCTTCTTATGGCTACTGAAACTACCTCAGTAGTAAATCAAAATAATTTTACATAAAAATCTACACTTAGGACTCACTTAGCAACGAATTAACTTTTAGTGATGTGAGTGAGTTATGCATATCATATAGTTTACAGCACATTCTCCATCTGTTCTATTTTTAATTTGAAAATGGAATGTGACTTGTCTATGCGCTGCGATAGTATAATCTATGGATATTGTCTATGGGCCACAGGTCATTGGCACCAGTAATTGGCCAGATAACATGTCCTCGACTTTGTGATAAAATAATGGGTGTAGATTAGAATGAATTATGTGTAAGAGCTACATTACTGTGGCGGAAATTATGTGATAATTAAAACATTTGTGTACGTTACCAATATTCTGTCATCGGGTATCCTTGAGATGAAATCTATAAAATCGTTGTTTAATATTCTATCTGGGTTTAAGTATTTCCTCATGAATTTATAAATACCTAAAACAAGATTGTAATGTGTTTTATTTCCCTTATAAATTATATTATGTAAGTCATCTTACTTGTTTAACAGCCAAATGTAGATAATCAGTAGAGGATAATCTAATAAAAAAAATACTTACCAAATAACATAAGTAAATAATTGAATGGTACAAAATACAGCATCAGAGAGAGTAAAGCCAGTATAGACATCACAACGTAAGTTAAGAACGGTACTTGAAATGTAAATAAGCTGAAATAATAATTAAGAAAAGTTTTCTTCTAAAATGTAACAAATTAAAAATGTAACTGTTTATTATCAACTTACTTTTTTATTCTTTCCAATAACGACACAATAAGAGCCAGTACATTTGATATAGTTATAATCATTTCTTGCATGTCATTTATTTTATAAGTTAGGCTTTTATTATCCTAAAATTTAAGTAATTGTAACAATAATTAATAATTAAATTATTTTTTTATCTTTCTAAAATGTCCACCTTTGGACTTTTAAGAATTTCTTCTATTAATTACTTACTTTTGGATTGTTATTTAGATTCGTCTCATATTCAATCTCGGCTCCGGAATCAATAAAATAATTAGTTCCTTAAAAACATAAGTTTAAATAATCGTTGTTTTCAGGTTTTTTGTTAATTTAATTAATGCAACAGCTATTACCTTGTATCCACGTATAAATTCTTAAGAATATAAAAATTAACAACAATATAAGCGGAACCATTGGTGGTGTGAGATGATAGCATAGCATTAACCACAAAAATAACGCAATCGCCGACATCTCTCTATTATTCCATTCAAATAATCTCCTAAAAAAAGAATAAAAAAACAAACAAACTTATAAACGCAGCTCTAAACCGTAACTGTAATTTGCTTTTATATTTTTTTGCTATTAAGTATAATTTGAACTTACTTGAATGTTTCATTAAGGTATAAAATATTATTAAAATGATCCACAAAAATAGGGAGATTTCTCATCAGAAGTGATATATCCCATTTTGGTGGATCTTCTATATATTTCACTTCTTTAGGCTGGAATAGTCTTAGTGTTGCTTTGATCTGCAAATATTTTGATCAGTATAATTGCTATTTTTGTTAATGTGTATAAGTTTAAAAAATATTCTTACGGGATTCCATGTAACAGTCATTCTTAATAAAATTCTTGGATTGTTTCCTTTAGCTACGTTGCGATTATTTCTACTTTTTAATGTGTACCAACGAGTCTTTCCGTTTGTAATCTTGAGTAACGGAATCGACACCTGGCCCAAGAGTTCAGTTAGGAAAGCATTCGTCAATGAACTACTGTGTACCTTTAATATTAAAACCGAAGTCACGTCGTATACGTTGCTGAAAATATTTTAGAATCTAAAAAAAGTTGGTTTTTGTATAAAAAAAAGTGTGAACCCGCAAAATGTTATTCCAGTCGATATCAGATATAAATAATTAATGGAGCATGTGATGGTGTTGAAGTCACGTGGCAAACCTATGGAAATCAGATACACACGAACTATACTTCTCTAATAAAAGATGTAAAAGATACATTGAGCCTTACAATACATAACTCTTATCCCAGACTGGTTCTGCTCCGGAGTTGGCAGTGTAGGTCTGCAGTCGTTCATTATCGAGCTCCAGGGTGCAGTATGCGCTGGGCTTCCCGCTCAGACCCTTAGCTCTGATAACCTTGACCTTCAAACATCCCACCAGCCTCCAATCCGTGTTCCAATCTATATGAGACTATCAGAGAAGAAGGGTTTACTTAAACTAATACATAAAAAGAACATGAATCATTGATCTAATAATTGTAAAAATATGACGTCAGATCCTGTAAAGAGGTTACAAAGACAAGAGAGAACGTTGCTACATTTTACCCAAAAGTCACGCTTATTTTATTTGGCAACGGAAATACAAACGCTTTAAGTAAACTGAAGTGGATATAACAAATATGTTGGATAATAAAATGTGTTCTACATACTTGCTCACGTTGAAAGTCAGTCTTAATAGTTTTTGGTGCGCTGGGCAAATAGCGCACCACGCACATTGTCACTGATAAATGTACGGAACCGTAGCCATCGTCCAATTCTTGCCAAATATCGTGAGTGCGTTCTTTTTCTAACTTGGACAAATCTAATAAACAACTGCGAACAAACAGATGATAAATACATAGCATATCTGACACTTTGATAAAAGATGAAGGTATTCTATCCCATTTAAATAATTCTAACCTTGAAATTTTACCGATTTCCCGTTTATCCCTAATTGTGTCGTACAATTTTTGTTGTACAGTTAACAGACGGTACTGTACAGTACAGTGCTTGGTGACATTTTAATTGTATTTAAAATAATACCTGCCCATAAATATCTTCTGTCGTCCTCTATCCCATAACGTAAGCTTGAGTGAATGATCCTTGTGTAGGTGTAGTTTGAATCGTTCGCGCCATTCAGGCCGGCGGGTGTGGAGTACGGACTTCGATCGGAATGTCTCTGACCCCAATCTAGTTACATACAAACAGGAAGAAAGTAATCTTGTTGTATAAGTTTTGTTGCTGCACATCTACATGTCAATTTGAAGGAATAATAGCTACAACTAAATATAGCAAAATTATTTACCTAAATTTACAATAGAGTTCATGCGCAGTTCCATCGTCGGGTGGTCTCGGAAGATCCTTTGCAGCAACTAATATTATAGACACGATTGTGTCCCAACTATCCCAAAAATTTTCCAGATCTTTGAGTAACCAAAGTGACTTTTTAGTCTAAAAGAAAAAAATAGAAGCATTGAGAACCTTCTTCTTTTTGTAGATAGTGAAATATAGAACTATGTCGTTACCTTTTACCGGCTACAGAAAACCATACTTCGTAGGTGTGTAAGAAACAATAATCCATAGAATTTACCTTATAACTAGACAATGTAGTCAAGCTCTCTGTGCTTGCGTATTTACTGGTGCTGGTGTTGTGAAATGGTGCTGATTCATACACTTGGCCTCGATTTTTATTTGTATTGCTAACAAGATTAATCAAAGAGGTCGATCGCCACCTGCGACAAACATAATAACGATGAATATAAATACATGGTAGCATCGTCTAATAAGATAGAATGGTTGGTAGAATTCGCTGACTTCAATCTCTTATTTCCACCATCTTCGATGTTTTGATCTGAATATCTAAATGTACCAAAATAAAACGTTATTTTTTGCAAATGTAACGACAGATTCGACATCATTAACATTCGAAACGCATTCATACGTATAATACTCTTCAACTATTATTTCAACTTACATTTTAAGTGATCTTGGTATATTTCTGGAACTAGGTATGTCGTCATTTCTGTCGATTAAATCCCGATTGGGCGCAAAGTCATAGAAACCACTCATATTGCACTATTTTTTTTTTAACATTTTTATCGAATCGAATATTTCAGGAGTCGTTTTCTCTACTTAATTCATTATAATCTTTGTAATCTACGACATTTATATCTAATCTTTATACAATGATAAATATACATATTATTGTATTGACGATCAATTATAAGGATAGTGATGCAAACATGCAAATAAAGTTTATATCTATTTTTAGTGATTAATTAATTGTTAGGGATAAAATGCAAGACTTGTGTTCCAATAGTGTTGCAGTACAATATTGCTATCTCAAATTATTAAATGGGAAAGAGAAGGACAAAAGTAGATGTCTGTACCAGTTTCTGAACGTCAGAGTGTTGTTATATAGAAATTAGTTTCTCCAGCACATTACTGTGTTAAGCGTGAGAGTGGTATGTAAATATTTAACTTGCGCCATCTTTTGAGTATTGTCTTGGTAATTCACAAATATCTGATCTTTTGTTAGATGGCGTGTATAATATCCCAAAGACGTCTGAATTTATTAATTAAAATAAATATTTTTATGCTTCTCCTTTATTTCAGTTCCTAAACCGTTCACTTAAAGATCAGAACTAGTTTTAACACGACATTCTGAGAATATCAATGAGTGCTCAAATGCATGCATATCTAAAAAATGGGAAGCATGATTTTTTGGCTTTATGTTAGGTACTTATGTGTAAATGTTTAGGACTTTGACTACCATTTATGAACACAATGCTTTATAATTTTGACCATTGACTAATGAATGATGAATTACGCTTTTAAATAGGTTTTGCCTTAGATGTTATTTGAAAATTAAATTCTGGGGGCAAAGTATCATCAAATATTCATCGTAATTAACAAATAAAATTAACTCCGTTTGCGTTATTTTGAAATTACGCTAATAATAGCCAAAGAGAATATGTTTTTTCTTCCGTCCACTTGGAGCGCTGTTAAGTTTTCATACCGCGTCCGCAAAATGTAGTGGCGCTGCTAGTCGCTGCCGCTTTAACAAGTGAAACATTTCTGTTGTCGTGACGAGGTTATGTTTTATGTGAAAGTATACTTTGAGTGATTCAATATAAGAATGGAGAAAAGAAAAGAAAACTTAAGTGCCATGAAAGTTTGCAGATTTTGTTTGGCTAAAGATTCTTCGCTGGGGAGTCTGTATCGCAGGCATCCGCCATCTAAGAAAACTGTTGATCTTCCTTTAAAAATCCTATCATGCGTCTCTGTTGAGGTAATTCCAATATTTTAATGAATTTAGAAAAATGTTATCCGCATTATTTTCTTTTCTAATTATTGTTGTATGTTTTGACGCCAAAAAATAAATAGAAGTATTCCTGTCTACTTGGCATAATGGCGCCGATTGTTATTGATAAAACAAAGACGTAGACAGGCATTTAATGATTGTAATGGGGTTTTATTTATATTCTTATTAATTTTTAAGTAAAAAAAAAGTTATGTCACCCTATATAATTGTGTTTCTGCTCTACAGCTAGTAATTTAATTTATAAAATACATTTTGGTCACACAAAGCGCCACCTAGTAGTCGAAATGACATATATTAAAACCATATCTGTTTAAAATGAATATGCTCATGATTTACAGGTTTTCCCTTCAGATCGAATGCCACCATACATTTGCAACCAGTGCAAAGTTTTCATGAATCTTTTTTACACATACAAACAAATGGTGCGCCAAGCTGATGAGAGAATACTAAAATTTACTCAGAATGGAATGGCATTGGAGCCTATCTCTTGGCCAACATCACTAATCAAAGTAATGTATACTCACAATAAAAACTTAAATAGCGTTGTTGATGGAAATGATTAAATTAAATAATAAAATCAATATTTTAGGCCTACCAAAGTTCAACAGATCAAGAAATAAAAACTGTGTTGGAAGGTGGTGCTACAGTTCAAATCAGCACTCATAATATATCCGAGAGTGAAGAAGAAGAGGAAGATGAAGATAATGATTTTAATGTAATAGTATAACATTAACATGCTTTAAATTTATTGTTATTCCGAACAACATAAAATAATAATAATATTTAAGATGATATCCAAAAGCAATAAGAAATAACAATTATTTGATAACTGACTTGACTTGACTGACTAAATTTATTAAAATTTTAGGCACTGTACCTGTACCATACAAAATTTAAGAAGCTTGAAATAGTTTTGAGGTTTCTTAATTTTGTATTGTATAAACTCTTAAAACTGCTTGGAGAAATAATCATAAATTAATTAGTTATAAGTATGTCATTAATAAATTGCAAAATTGCTTGAATTACTACAATTTACTGCACAGTTTGTTAAAAACTATAGCTCTATGTCATCAATAACAAGTAAGAAATTAATTTCATCACCATTACCAGCTCACTATACATCCCCAATGAGGGGCTCGGAGCCTACCCTAATTGGGATGGTTAGGCCAGAAACTAATTTATTTTATTGTTACTTGAATATGTCATTGCAACAGGTTGGTGGTGAAGGTTCTGATGATGAAACCAAAGGTGACACAGCCTGCATAAAACTTATCAGCAATAAAAATAATGAAGACAGCCCTAAAAATGTCATAAAACAAAACATTAAAGGTAAACATAAAATAATTACTATTAAGTTTTTTCTTTTTTACTATAATGTATTTCTTTTCTAAAATATATTATAACTTAAATTTTAATTTTTTAACAGGATATACAACCATTACCAAACAGACAAGACCTTCGGAAGAAGATAAACTGTATTCGTGCAAACATTGCTCCAAGAACTTTACTAAGTTCCAGCATTATACAAGGTATTTATGTTTTTTATACTACATTGTAAAGTAATATGCCCATACCTATAAATATAATAAACTTTGTGTGTAAGTAAAATTGCAAAAAATCTTGTTTTTTCCAAATTTTACATGTATTTTTGCATAGTTAACAAGTTTTAAAATTAGATCAGACTGTTGCAAAGCTTCATTGATCCAGGGTCAGTCCTTAAGGTCTGATTGTCTGGAACGACTGTACTAATTTTAGTATGACTTGTCAGGAAACTAGCACGTGGGAATATTCTAGGCTTTTTAAAATTCTGTGTACAAAATCCCCAGCGACTGCTAATATATTATATGAACAATTTTTTTATCGAAATAGATTCAATTTGCTAGTGTTCAAACTAGCATGTTAAAGACATGGAATTGTGAACAAAACAAAATTTTCCAGCTACCTGAATATGGGACTGAAGTAAAAAATATTTAAATCAGATTCAAAATTCATGTTGCAGATCTTGTCTAGATTTACATAATGGATGTAAATCAAAACTGTAACCGTATGTTTAGCATTGTTAGTGTAACCTGTCTATAATCTTTAGAATCTGATCAGTATTGAAGGGGAGGGGGGCAAAGGATCTGTCCAGTAACAGGGGGAGGGAATAAATTATCTTGCAAGTGGTCCATAGTGTCATTTGAATTTTGATTCGAGTCGCAGTATCATGTAAGATCAGTTTAAATTTTCATAAAATATGATTGCTTAGTAACAACAGGATTTTTTAGAAATAGACAAAATAGTTTCTTTATGTTTTCGGTTATTATTAGGTTATTTAATTTAAAAATTTAAAAATTGTGAAATTTAATAATTGGTGCAGAAGAATATGTAACAAATAAACAAATTGAAATAGTGACAATTTCAGCTTAAGTTAGTAATTATAACGATCGTATTATTAAATGAGATGTTCTTGTTTTTTTAGATTCACTTTTGTAATCGCGGTCATAATTAAATTAATGACAAATAATAATAAAAAAAAACATTGTAAATGACATTTTACGTCACAGAAAATTTTATTTGTGTAAAAATTTAAATAATCCACAATGCATTTAATATAAAACATAATATTATTTAGGTGAAGCGCATATAAACAATTAATAAATGTTCAGTGGTGAATTGACTGATAGTTTACGGAGGTAAATTAGGTAAATAATTTCATTCAGATATCGATGATTATGACGTGGTAAGTCCGGCGAATTTCACCATGCATAAGATAGCATCGCGTCATTTTAGCGGCTCAAGGTTGGCTGCGAATTGTCCCCTCATCCCCCTCCCATTATCCCTATACCATAAAAAGTCTTTCGTGCTATCCTCAGACTCCGAATATATGACTTCCCCATTACAGTCATTCCGTCATGGCCAATCTACAATTGGCCAGTACAATTAAGATGGCCAGTCATAAGTTGTATGGTGCAAACCATAGTGTTCAAACTATGCAAGTTATTATTAGTCCAGTCATTGAGCTTTATTGTCTAACTGTACTGGCCAGGTGTCTACTGGGCAATAAGGAAAAACGTGGAAAAGAGTAGGCATTGTGTCATATTTCAGACATCTTCGTATAAAGCACCGCGAGAGCGTGCGGCGCAGTACGCGCGGGCCGTTCGGCGCCACGGAGCAGTTCCGCTGCGAGCAGTGCGAAGACGCGTTCGGCTCGCAGGACGAGCTGATCTACCACTCGGCGATACACGCCACGCAGAACCTTACCTGCCCGCTGTGCCAGGAGAAGTTCCACAACGTCGATGCCGTCACAGCGCACATCAAATCACACGTCAACGGTATAATTTTTCTAAAATAAAAAAAAACACTATGGTTTAAAAACTTAATGCTTTAGTCATTTCTTTTTACTTTTTTTCTAGGCATGCCCTAGTTTAAAAAATTGCATTGAAGCGTATTGATTTTTATAACCATCTTTTAATATGTAAAATCGATCATGTTATTGTTTTAAAAACAAAAAAGTATATTTTTAATTGTGTAAATCGGAAAAAGAACTTATATAGTTCTTTTTTCATTGTATCTGTGTTGAATAAATATTGAAGGTAGACATGAGTAATGAATTAATAATGATATTTCAGGTGTTGAATTTATGTGCGACTTTTGCGAGTTGGTGTTCACTACAAAAGAAAAATTGGAGTCCCATCTGGTGTCTGCACACGAGGACGAATTCAACAATGTAAGAGATAATCGAGTAAAACCTAAAATAACTCGTTTTGACCGACTTCCCAAAAAAAGAGAGAGTCAATGTTAATTCATTACTTAATCATTACTATACTTTCAATTGTCAATCAAAGTAATATTAATTGTACAATATTAACATAACAGCTACAATAAGGGAGGTTTTCTATTTTCAAGGAATTATTTCGTTACTTTTTAGAGTACTGTTTTTTTGTAAATATATTGATTTTAGTGTATTTTGTTTGGAAGTTGGTTTTACAATATACCTTTGCTAAATTCATTTTGAGTAGGATCTATGTTTGTGGTCGCTGTGACAGATATCTAAGATGTTTCTACTGTAATGTTCTTTTATAGGAACTAGGACAAGACGACTCGTCGATGGAAATGGACCCTGAAGAAGAGGAAGATGATAATAGTATCAATGGTAATAATTTTTGTTATTTCACAAGTATTGAGTTTTCATTTCAAACATCTATAAAAAAACATTAATATGCTTTCATTGTGTTTTTTGAGAATAAAAACTTTATAAAAAGTTTATTCTTCTTAATATTATATTTGAAATGTTGAGATTCCCTATATTGTTATCGCTTAGTTAAGAATAATTGTATGTTCTTACTTGACTCTTATCATAATTTTTTAATATTGTAATTGTATTTCTTATATTTTTTTTTCCAGTTAAAGACGAAGGAGATCATATGCTTATAGAAATTAAGAAACCAGATGAATATATGGTATGGATTTGTATTTTATGTAGATGATGATAAAATATTCTAAGATATAGAATTGATATGTATTTATGTATTTTAGCTGCACAACACTACTGCTGATTCCGAGGAGAAGGGAGATAACAGTATTTCCGAAGGTGGGTTGCAGTCATATTATTTTTAATCTGTTATAAAATTAAGTGGGAAAGTAATGTTTAAAAATAGAGCATACAAATCTGTAGTCTATTTGTAAATAGGAAGGAGGAATTTGTATGGGTTAATTGGAAAATGGAATAAAAAAATCTATTTGTCCCCTTATTATTTAGCAAAAGTAATGCATCTGCAACATATTTTTTTATTGCCATCTAATATTAGCTGTCTCGCTTCCACATATGCTGTCATATTTCCTTGAAATCTACTAGTTTTCAATTCAAAAACCCATTTTTATACTTACTGCTACTATTGGTTGTTTCTCGTTGAACTGATTCGCATACCCATCTTAGATGATTCCCAATTCATTCGCTTTGGGTGGATTGATCTTTAGGTCGATAGGCCCCCAACGGGAAACACTCCTACGTTAGTGTCCCTTGTATATTGTAGAAGTGCCTTCATCAATCGACTAACCATAATTAATATTTATTTTGCAGAAAGCGAATCCGAGGTAACATACACAGAGTTGTCGACGGTGGACACGTTAGCTATAATAAAAAAGGACTTGATGCCCAACGTCGAGGTGAGGCCCGCGCGGCCGGCGCGCCCCGCCGCCTCACAACCCTCACAAGCCTCACAAGCCTCACATAGTGAGCAAACGTCCTTGATTTCACAAGTATGCGCTTTTGTATACCCTGGGACGGTGCTTTGGTGATAAGGCAATCTTTAAAGGCTATATTATAATATATTTAATTTGAATTTAAAAAAAGTTTAGAGCATTGGTGTGACAGTTGCACACGTCCTGGTTCTATCATTCCCGACATTGAAATATAGTTAGTCTGATATCTTGGTGCTTCAGAAGTCAAGCAAGTTGTTATACAGAACTCTATTATGATGGTAAATGAAATCAGTGATGCAACCTGCATAGTCTAGGCTCCCTTAACTTAAAGTAGGCTTAGTGGCTCGCCCTTCAGTGAGCATAGAGAGTAAGAGGATAATTTGAAATTTAATTTCACTATTATATTTTTTCCTACCACTGAAGGCGAAGGGCTACTTTAGATTGATGTGCCAATCCATACAAATAACTAATTTAAAAAAAAATTAAAAAACCTCCAAACAAATGTAAATCTTATTTGATACAAATTATATCATTTGTTTTATATTTATATGTTATAGATTGCGACTGTTGTAAGAAAAAATTCGGAGAAAGGTAAAGAAATTCAATCACCGGCTGCAGATACAGGTTAGAAATAAGCTAAGATTACTAATGCAATTTCAAACATTTGTAGCTTGCATTTTTTTAAATATGTAAAACCACTTTTCAGAAAAGAAAGACAAGCCTGTTAAAGTTGACAATGTCAGAGTGAGCGCCAGTAACAAATCTCTGCAGTTATTGGAAAAGGAATTGCAAGAATTGAAACGGGTAATATATATTTTTTGCTTTATTAGATTTACAGCAATATGAGTTAAGTTGAAAAATATTTTTTTAAGTCCTACTTGTAGCAATATATTAGAAATTTTTAGTTTATATATTGTCTTCTGCCATTTTGTGACGACGACCATTTTGGATCTTTAATCCTGTGCCGTACTATACAGGAAAAGTGAAGGGAGGCGGTATTAGGCATTATTTATAAAAACCGACATAGTCAATTAGCAAGCTAATAGACATTTAAAAAAACATTTCTTGTTTATTTAATTTTACAGACGAATAATACAAGGAATGAGACGAAACCTGTAGTGAAACCATTGGACTCTATGCGCGGTAAACGCCCGGTCATTCACACATCAACACCTAAATTCAGGTAAGCTTTCATAGTACTCTACTACTACTACTAAATAAAAATACAAATGTATGGATGAATATTTGTCACTAGGTAACTCCAAGACAACTCTGATGAAAATTTGAAAGAGATGAAGATCTAAAAAAGCGTAAAGCTTACCTTATACTTGAAAAAGTTTCCGTTTGATTTATTTACATTTTTCATATAACTTAGTAACGATTAATGTTTCAGGCCGTCAGAAGGAAGAGTATCAGCGATTATAAAAATGCCATCAGTAGAGAAGAAACTGCCGGAGCGTCGCATCATCACCAAAGAGAACAAGGAGCCCAAAGAGAAGGAGGTGAAGGAGGTGAAGGAAGTCAAAGAAGTCAAACTTAACACCACCAAAGAAGACACGGAAACTACAGCTACACCAAAGGTATAGTTATCTTCAAACAATATAGCAGCTCGCAATTGTGCATTGCACAACACGAGCCCTCGTAAAGTTTGAATATTGTAATACATATCTTTCAATATTTTTATTGTCATTTACCTAGTTTGATGGACCTTGATGTTTTGGATTTATTTATGAAAATAACTTCTTGAAATATAGAATCACTAATAACAATAACATTTTCAATAGTTTTGTATTGCATTAAAATTGTAATACACTGAATTGAAATATGATAGATAAATATTAATGGCAAAGCCAGGAATTTATTAAAAAACTGAAATGTTTCTATATTTTTTTTTAATTACAGAGTGTTATCAAAAATGGAAACAATGAGAAAGCCCAGACAGAGGATGGCGTGATACGTCGCTCTACCAGACCCTCCAAGATCAAAGACTACGCCAAAATGATAAGGGACAGGTAAAGTTTTATCATTATACTCTCTTATTTTATATCTATGAACTTAATTTGAATAGTAAATAATATTTTATTAAAAGTTATTAAGGAAAGAAGTGGTATATGTATAATTTGAACATTTAAGGTCGCTCGAAGATGATGAAGATGAAACCGAGGAGTCGGATGTTGAAGAGGAGTACAGAGAGAAGACTCCTGAGGTTAGTGCTATTTGGACACTAACTGTTGTTCACAATATATTGTGCTTTACTAGCCTTTTCTAACATTACTATTACACTCTTTTTTATATCTTTTATAACTGGCAAGTTTTACATGTTGATGGTATTCCTGGGTTAAACAACTAAAACTATTTCAACAACTTATATTCATTCAGTTTGTATTTATTGCTAGAGTGTTTAAAAAATCCTAGCATTATTAATATTTTGATCTACCAATTTAAAAAGTAGCATTGTTTTAATTCTTTTCAGAGGACGCCAAAGCGTAAAACTGTAGTAAAAGGTCCTGCCAAAATGATACAAACTACATTAACGACGACTTCGCAAGGCAAAGTGGTGCAGGCAGGGCCCGCCGCGCCCTCCCCGCCCACCGTGCTCGCCACCGCGCCCAGGAAACGAGGACGACCGCGCAAAGACGCCGCGATAAAGGAAATGTAAGTATGCAACAAACAAAAAAGGCATACTAAATTTTTGAAAATTCAATACGGTACAAGTTGATATATCTTAGAAAAAAATTAGACTAAAACTTATCCAGTAAAGTCTGACAATCTTATCTGCCCCAGTAAAGAGAAACTAAAGCACACAAGCGCCATCTGGTAGTGTAGGGCCACAAAGTTCTTGTCATGTTTAAGATCGGCAATTTATCAGACCGTGACGGCTTAAGTTTAACTTATCTATAATAGCTCACTAGCAGTGAATTCTTTTATACAATTTCCTATCTCCATGAACGTTTTGTTAAGTTTTTAAATTTCATAAGTACCTTATACAAATTACAGTCCAGCGAAGGTGAAAAAGGAAACGAATGAAGAGAACACTTCGAAATCTGTAGCAGACGAGTCCGTAGGGAAAGATACAAGTGTTGCGGAAGAAAAAACAAGCACAGAAACTAAAAGTAATGTGAAGGAAAATACTAATGTAAGTACTAAAATCAAATAAAACTCGAATATGTTCACAAACATAGTCGGAATTATAAGAAGGAAAAAAATTTTTTTTGAATAAACTACAAAATACTAGATGTTTTCTGTATGGGTTTTTAGTGCTTTTTTTTTCTACAGATTGAAACCAAGACACAAACAACGGAGCAACCTCAAATACCCGCGAATTTATTAATGTACACTATGGGACAGACATTGAAAAAGGTAAGCTGTGATTTAATTACCACGAAAAAATATATTGCAATTCTATATATTATGGTCTAAACTATAATATAAAAATCGTGACGCTTAAAAAGTCTTATTAAATTAGTTTAAATATGCAAGAAGTTATAGTGATATATAATTTTTCAATATTTTTGTAATAATGTACTATTATTTTCCAGGTGCCGCTGAATTCTTTGCCGCCGGGTGTCAAACCAATACCGCTACCCGCCAACGCTAGACGTATATATCTTTATATTAAAATAAAATTGGTCCTAAACCAAACATACTTTTAGATTACTATTGTCATTAGGAAAAAAACTTGCAGACAACAGAACAAGAAAGTATAAAATCAACTTTCCCTTAGCAGTTAAACATTTCTTTTTATTCCAGCGTTGGCGACGAGGGAACTCTGCGAAATGCAAATTGGCAAGAAAATGGTGAAAGTACAGAAAATTGTTATGACCAAAGCTGAAGTTGAGGCGATGGCGAAGAAAGGCCTCGTGGAAATGAAGGTATAATAAATGCAGAACCCAATTAAGTTACTTTAATTGATTTAAAGTAATATTTTGTCATTTTTACCAACAAAACTGCGACTTAAAATGTAGATTTGTTTTTTTTAATTTAACCAAGAATATAAAATTCCTCGCGATATTGCGGAAAAATATGGAACTAACTTTTTACACATTGTAAAATAATGCCGGAGGTGATTGTAGCGGCACAAAAGCAGAATATGGATATACTTGCTTCTTCAATAATCTTTTTGATTTTTTTTTAGGATGGCACAATGGTTCTGAAGCAAGGCATCAAACTACCGACAGCTACAGACCCCGCTGTCATCAAATCTACACTAGTTGGTAAGACAGGTATCATTACGCTTGTGCTTCATATCAGAGTAGGGGACGCTTAGGAAGGGAAAATATCCCTTTTCTGACCGTCCCCCTCCTCCGTCGGTAGGCAACAAATTTTGCGAATGTCTAAGCAGCGATCTATTCGCTATTACGCAAAAATTCCAGAGGCTGATTGCTCATTATATTGCTTTATAAGCTCAAATATAGCTATTCGCTGCATTTACTGGAACCTATTGGATTAAATTTAAAAAATTCTACATTACAGATGCCATAAAAGAATCTCCTACGAAGAAAGAAAAATCGGTTCCAACCAGATGCGATCTGAGCGACGAAGCTTAAATATATACAAATATATATCCTCATAGAGAAAACATTGCATGTAATTATTGATATCTATAAGATAGTCGTAAACTTTTATAAGTAACAATTAGAATAGTTAATAATTTCGTATATATTTTTTTTTCTCCTAGGTATAAAATGAAATCTAGTTATAATGGTTTTAATTTTATAAACTAAGACGATAAAGTAAATAGTACATTATTTACGTTATACCTAACTGTAAAATATTTACAGAATATGCAATTTTGTGACACAATCATGTTATTCAAAATTAAATAAAACAGTACATAGTACTTTGTGTTTTTATTAACTCCTAAATTCATTTTTATGTTTCTAGTTGATTTATTTTTACCCGAATTATGAAAATTATTGTCACTTTACGAACAAAATTACAATATTTCGCACACATTTCACAGTATTACGCAATAAATTGATAGAAGCAATCTCAGGCCAGGATTTTAATATTTTTGTTGAGCTAAAGTAGTAATTGATTCAAAGAGATAATCCTAACAAAAATACCCATTGGTATCGAAATAAAGATCACCAACACATTTCAGTTGATTTCTACATTCTCCCGCAGCTTATGGTAATTTGCGCAAAGTTAGTATTTTTTAGGTCGCAGACATCGTGAAATAATTTATCACAGCGACAATTTACTAACTCTTACATATTACACTTTTCCTTTATAAATCTGAAGTTGCTCTATAAATTAAGTATTTGAACATCTGAATTTGCTGGATCTTTTAAATAAATCGACTGAACGTTTCGAATGCATATAAATCAAATGTTTTGTTCAAATTATATTTGCCCCCTATTCGACGATAGATGTCGCAGCACCTAATTAATTTAAGTGTTTACGTAAAGCTTCAATAGATGGCGCTGCAACACCCGAAACAGGAAATCAATCTTACTGTACGGCGGACAGTTCAAAATCTAGAATTCAAACAATATCACTGACAAAAACGCGCGACATCAGCCGTGGTGGCCGCACTCGCGGAATTATTATAATTACGAGAACTAACTTTTTTTAATATTTTGCTACTATAGAAGTACAGTAGTAGTGTAAATATTGTGCAGATATTTTAAATAACGATTAAATTGAAGTCCAACTGAACTTTTGGAGTGATTTTGAAATTCTCTTGAAGTGTGAGTATTCAAAAGCTAGTTAAGTTTCAATAGAATTTGTAACTTTAAATTTGATTTTGTCAATTAGTAGATTCGATATTATTTACAGTAAACAATTAAGATTCAATAAATTTGATATACTGCGCTGTTGTGCTGCCGAGCATTTTTGTAGACAACGGAACCGTCTGTCAAATTTTACTTCATAGAAAACCCGAAAATTATTTAAATTTTTCTATTGTTTTATTACGAATCCAATGCAATGGGGTCATGGAGATGTTTTGTTTTCTATTTGATAAATCGGATAAGATAAGATGAAAGATAAAAATATTTTCGTTTGTTGGTTCTCGTATTCTATTTAATAAATCGAGTAGTGTGTAAAGTAGTATGTGATTTAAATAAAACAACTGTTTCAGGAGAAAATTAAATACAAAAATCGATACAAAACTAAAAATCATTCATTAAAGTAAACATTATTTTAGTAATAAGCTAAGTAATTAACAATATCGGTTTTTAATTTCACTTAAACACATCATTTAGGTATTAATAATTCATTAAACTCAACCAGTTTCACTGCAAGTAAAACGTTAAACGAACAATATAATAATGAAAAATTCATAAATCGTTCATGGCATTGAAACCTGAAAATTACCCAGTCATTTATTGCACGTATACTCGTACAAAATAAACAAGTTATTGCTTATTTTGTATAGTGTCGCATCATTTTCACACACTCGTGATAAAAAACTTGTCTCAGAATATGCTAAGTGACAAATTGACGGAAATTTCGGATAAGGCAACCTATTTTAGGGAAGACAGTTTAGGAAGATTTAGTTAGGTCCTTTTAAAATTTAAGTCGCATTTACATATTAAATTACTGAGGAGTACAAAAGGTAACTTTAAGTTATTTTATTCAATACTAAACACAAGATAACTTAAAGTAAATTTTTGTTCTGTTTTCCAAAGAAAACAAGATTTATTTTAATGAGGGTAGGGTATATTTTGGTTGGCTAACGCTGAAAGCATTCACGTGGTTATTTAGCTCCGATAACAAATGAATTGTGTCTAGTTGTTTCATAGTTCATATCATTACAAGTAAAAATAAAATAATATTTCTGTTTGCAAAAAAGTCGAGTAAATTCCTTTCGTATTATTTCGGCATTTGATTTAGATTAGGTAACGGTATTGAAGCTATAAAATATATCATAAATTAATGATTTACATGTACCGGCTATCATCAATGAACATGGATTACTGTCGCAACAAATTGTATTTTTATCGCTCGGGAGTATTACAAACACCTGTAGCGACTGCTTTGATGAACGCAAACATATGATAGCAATTGTTACTTGAAGGTGTACTGAAACAATTATGACCATAGAAGTACATACAGACATGTAGAAACGTGACATTGTAAAAAATGAAGTAATAGTAAGAACTAAAAGAATTTTTATAAGACAAAAAAAGTGTTATTTTGTTTTTGTTATTGATTTTATTTTATGTCTACATCTGTTCTCTATTGTACACATAGAATTTAAACAGTTAGCGTTTTATGAGTAGTAGGAATGGAAAAACAGAACAAATTGCGTGAAAGAGCGACAACCTAGGCACTTTAAGATTATCTCAAAACGTGTAGAGTCAAAACGATTTAAATTAAACTGAAGTTCTGATGTAATTTTTTACCACACGAAATAAACATGAAAATCCTACAAACAAAATTTCAATGAAATAATGGGCCAGTTTTTCTTGATAGTGACAACCCTAACTTCGTACCGTGAAATCGCAACAACGAGCGACTAAAACTGAACAATGATAGCAAATGAATAACGCACTCGTCCGTCGTCAGTACAGCCGTAGCGAATTCACCCTGTTCACGAAGAAAACCACTCTACATATTCTAGTTAGATAATAGAATTGTGCTAAAGTGTTACATCACTACTAATGATATCTACTGATTATTTTTTAAGTAGTATTTACTAGTTATTTAAAAAAAAAGGTTTAAAAATAGCATTTCCAACAGACAAGAGAAAATCGTAACTACTGAAGTAATTTCGTCGGAGAAAATTCTTAAATAAAAATGATTTTCACAACTCAAACTTTACTCGCTTTTGCCAATTACAAATATATTCCATAGACATTGGCTTTTTCTATACATACTGTCGCGCATAACAAGGGCTCCGTTAAATGTCGATTTTGTAATTAAACACTAAGGGACTGCTAGTGTCCTTTAAAATGCGGTGAACATTTATACACTACGTAGAAGGTTCAAAAAATATGGATAGTGTTGATATTGCACCTCGCAAATGTAACAAAAACGTTTGCACGAGCGAACAAATATTTAAGTTGTTATCAACGCAGATAAGTTTGCAATGATTATAGCTACTGTCGTACTACCGGCCTCGGTAAATAGAGAAATGGGACAGCATACGACCTTGTTTGTACATTTTATATCATACGGGATTTATTTATTAAACTAAATTAATCGCTGTTCTAAATATTCTTTTGCCATTTGATGTAGTTGGTTTATTTCTGTTATACATTTTATGAAAATCGGAAGAGGATGTAGAGTACAAACCAATAAAATAGTTTTTATTATATGTACACATTTATGTTTACTACAATGTATTCAATATTATTATATATTTTGATATATTTCAGATCGTAGGTCATTTGTAACACTGCAAATGCTACATTTTAAATAACACGAATACATTTTAAATAATATATAAAGGTCAAAATGAAAAATCTCTTGAACATTTAGCGATATTTGCTTAACTACTTTCCATAAACTAACTATATCATACTTATATTATAAATGCGAATGTTTAGATGGATGGAAGTTTGAATTGTAGCCTAAACGGCTGAACGGATCTTAGTGAAATTTGGTACAGATGTAGAGGGTAGTCTGGAATACCACATACGATAGTGACGTTTTTTTAATTCGAGTCGCGGGCGAAATCTAGTGAATTATAATTAGCTAAAAAGCGCAGCGTATAGATTATTCTGTCAGGCATTAATTAGCGTTAACAAATAGCGCGGCAGGGCGCGCCGCCTGCCGTAAAAAGATGTATGAAAACGCGGACCGGACGTCCGGCGCCGTACCGTAAGCTTTTCCATCGCCACGCGACCTTGGCGCTAACTGGCCGCTTTGAAAATTTGAAATTCAAATAAGTTTCTAGCATTTATACATCCGTCATTATTATTATTATTATGCGATCGTTTTTCATTTCTAAAATGTCTTAGAGCAAAAACGTAGCAACTTGTCCAATAATATTTATTTTCATAAGAATGTAGTTAAATTAGTATTTTAAAGAAAAAAATAGGATTGTATATAGCCTAAGCGGTTTGATTGAATGTAAATAATTATGTCTTTTGGTTTGTAATCTTACCTGGTGTCTGATAGAGTCAAATCGTCGGTTGCTCAGTGGTTTAAGCACTTGACTTGTATTATACAGATCTTAGGTTCGAATCCCGCCATATACCAATGTGATTTTTGATTTTCGTATTTTATATGTACATACATAATTTAGGCGACGTACTTATATTATGGTGAAGGAACACATCTTGATGCAACCTGCAACATATAGGAGAGGAAATTCAAAGATATGTGTGAAATCGTCCAACCTGCAGTGGGCCAGCGTGGTTGTCTATGACCTAGTCACCTCTTACTTAGGATAAGATCCGAGCCCCTCAGTTAACACGTATAGTGAGCTGGTAATGAATGAATGAATGAATGTGTGATACAGTTACGGCAAATCGTGTTAAAAAAACAATTGCTCATTTTCAGAAATATATGGCCGGTATTCAACAATTTAATTTAGCTACATGTCACTGTATCGCGGTGGGGACAGGAGGTGATAAGCGTTATCATTGCCGAGCTTATAAAGCTCAAAACGTGCCGAAAAATATTAGTTTCGGGATTCGTAACGTCACTCTGACATTATTACGTAGACCGTTTCTGAAAATCATTTAATGCACTTGATCACTATTCGTTGACGAAGATATTTTTCGTTGGTAAAATCCTTTATTGCAATTAACCTACGGCTTGCTAATTGAATAGGTAGTTAAGTTGGTAGTATTGAATACGTTTATGATGAAAGAAATCACATGATCTTGTCTTTATGTGGTTATAATCTGTGCAATTAGTGCAGCTGTCCGGCAATCTGCGGAAATGACTGTCGACAATTATCTATTAGCTACTAGTTGCAAACAAACGTACTGACGTAAAGTAGGCTACAGTACAGTAGTAAAGCCATATTATAGTGTTTTATTTAATTAAATAACTGGTTAAAATTATAAATAAATCAGTTTTAGTGAAACAAAGGAGCTGAGAATCGGGAATATTATTTTTTGCGGGAAAAATTAATAGCTTTCATTGTAGGTTAGTTGCGTGAAATTCAGCGAGCGATGTCGCTGGCACCGCTTGGCACGGAGCCCTGCCTGTCCCTGCGGCACGCACATCTCACTTCCTTAAACTGTTATTACTTATTATTAAAGATATAAGGTCTCTACAAACTAAAAAATAACTGCATCCATAGTTACTACATGAAAAAATTAAAAACAATTATTATTTGTGTAAGACAGATATTGCAAATTTAAGGAAGGAAAAGCTTTACTATTAATATAATTTTCATATAAATTTGGGGTTAACATTTGTTTTATTAGGAGAGAATTTAGATATCACGGTTGACAGAGATATTACATAGAGAGATTTATTCATATAGAATTTATTTTTGTGCCGACCCCTCTTAGGGATAGAGACAAGTTAATGTTGATTTAATTTTGTTTAAAAACGACAATTACTTTAATCGTCAACTAAATTGTTTTGCTTTGCAAAATAAGTTTAATTATCAGAGCTTTAAAAGCTTAATTTATACCTCTTCAACTCCATTAATATGCAGAAAATTCCTGATACCGAAGTCTTGATAAGTTACAAGGAATGTATTTTTGAATTATGTAATTTAAGTTACTACAAACGTAGCTCAGTTAAGTTACTTCACGCTGCCAAAACATGTGAGAACAGT